GAACTCCTGAACGCAAACAATCCGCCCGCCTCGGCCTCCCAGAGTGTTAGGATTACAGGCGTGAGCCACCGCGCCGGCCTGTTCTACTCTTTAATCTTGTCTGTCTGAGTGAAATGCCGGTTCCTGGGATGGCACCTTTGTCTTGTTCGCAGTTGTGCCCCCGGCATCTGGAAGCGGGCCTGGCACAGCGCGGGTGTGTGGAAAATGGGGGGTGGGAGGATCCTGAGATAGACAGGTGGAGGGTGGGCGGGCGGATGCATGGGTGGGAGCCCAGCTGGGCGGGCCTCGCGGAGATGGCACCCTGCCCCTCACAGCCACCCCGTCTCCCGCCCCCGTCTTCCAGTCCCTCTTGCTGTTTAGCCGGTCCCTGGACACCAATGGTGACTGCTCCCGCTTGGTGGCCGACGGCTGGCTAGAGCTGCAGCTGGCAGATGCCGAGAGCGCCGTGCGGCTCCTGGCAGCTTCCCTGCAGCTCCGCGCGCGCTGGGAAGGTGCCCTGGACCGGCAGCTGGCTCAGCAGGCCGGGCCGCGGCCACAGGAGGAGGAAGAGGAGGCTCTGCCGACCAGTCCCAAGGAGGTGGCAGCCCTGAGCAGGGACCTGCTGCAGTTCATGGCATCCAAGGTACTTGCCACCGGGGTTGGCTGTGGCCAGAGGGAGCGTCCACCACAGAGCTTAGGACTGGAGAGGGCCTGGCTTCCAGTTCACTCAGCGTGGGCATGTTTGGGGGGTTTGACGCCACAGAGGTCAAATAATGTGCCCAGAGTCGCTCAGCTGGTCAGGGGTGGAGCCAGGATTTGACCCCAGGCTCCATGGCCCTGTACCCCCGGCACCACTCACTCAGCGGATGTTCACGGAGCACCTGTGTGCATGGTTAGTACCCCCCAGTTAACGGGACATGCGGGATGTGCCAGGAGCCGTAGGTGTGTGTTCGTGGAGGACAGTGGGAAGAACTGGACAGAGCAGCCTTGAAACCAGCCCTCCACCTCTTAGGTGGGGAGCGGAGAATCGCTTCTGATTGTACTTCACGTGGGAGGGGACGGGGTCGGGGGAGGAGGGTGCAATCCTGGCAGACTTCCTGGAGTAAGAGGGGCTTGAGGACAAAGGGCCAGGAACCCAGTGAGCCAGGGAGAGGGGAACAGGGCTCATGTGCCTGCAGGAGAAAGGGCAAGGTGGCCAGACTGGAAGGCTAGGCCCAAGGTCTGGATGTGGTCCCACCTGTGACAGGGAGCAGAGGGGGAGTCTGGGGAGGGCAGTTGAGACGGGGGATGGGGCATCAGGGCATGTTTTAGACAGGCCTCTGGTAGTGAGTGTCTGAAGCCAAGTTGTGATTGGCTTAAGCACTTGGCTCCCACAATTGAAAAGTTGAAGGGAGGGCTTCAGGCACAGCTGGATCCAGGTGCTCGGGTGGCACGTCCCTGAGGCTGTCTTTCTCTATCTCCTGTCTCTTTGTCTTTAGGTTCCCTACAGTCTTCGGCGGCTCACGGGGCTGGAAACCCAGAACCTTTATGTGGGACCCCAGACCATCACAGCTGCCCCCAATCTCCCCGGGCTCTTTGGCAGCTCCACCCTATCCCCCCACCCCACCAAGGGGGGCTATGCAGTCACTGACTTCCTCACCTACAACTGCCTCACGGTGAGTGTGGACCCCACCCCGGCCCCCCCACTCCCGTCCTGAAAATGGGATTTTAGGAAGCCCCCACCCCCAAACCCACCAACCACATTCCAGCTTAGTCCAGGGATGTGGTTTCCAAATGCGGCCTGCAGTCCTGTGGGATGCTGGGAAGGGTCCCAGGCTGGTGGCGGGGGGCAGGGCGGTGGGGGCCCAACCTGACACCTGCCTGCGCAGAGCGACGCGGACCTGTACAGCGACTGTCTGCGCACCTTCTGGACCTGCCCCCACTGCGGCCTGCACATGCCCTTCACGCCCCTGGAGCGCATCGCCCACGAGAACACCTGCCCCGAGGCACCGCAGGACGGCCCCCCAGGCAAGGACAGGGCTGTGGGGGACCCGGGCCACCTCTGCCTGCGTAGCTCTCTGTCCATCCCACGGTTGTTTCCTGTGTATCTGGGCACTCGCTGGAGCCTCTGAGGACTGATCACCTTCACCCTCTGGCCCTGCCTGGTGCCACGCACAGGTCTTGTCACAAAGACCCAGAGCCCAGGACAGGAAGGGCCTGGAGCGCCACCTCTTTCTTTCTGTCTCTCTTTGGTCTGCGTCACCATCTGTGTGTCTTTGTTTCTCTCTGTTTCTCTGTGTCTCTGTGGCTATGTCTGTTGTTCTTTTTCTCTGTCCCACGTCTCTGCCTTGGCTACATACACCCCATTGTCACCCAGGGGTCTCCACAATGTCTGTGCCACACACTGGCATTCAGTGGGGGAGATGGCCGCGGGGCCGCATGTCCCCACCCTAGGGCTCGCTCTGCCTGCCTCTTTCAGTCTCTGTCTCATCGTTGTGGATGAAAGGTAAAGACTGGGCTGTGTGTGCATATTAATCAAGGAGGGCTTCCTGGAGGAGGCAAAACTGGACTCCTCAAAGGCCGGGAGAGAAGCTGAGCCCCATGAGTGCCCAGGATTTGGGTGGGGGGGAGCATGCAGTGCCAAGCCCCTCACGGCCTCCCGCTTTCCCTTCCTTAGGGGCTGAGGAAGCCGCCGCCGAGCCCCTGCAGAAGGCGTCTGCCCTGCAGCGGCCCTACTGCTGCGAGGACTGCCAGAAGGACTTTCTTTTCACACCCACGGAGGTGCTGCGGCACCGGAAGCAGCATTTGTGAGCTGGGCTGGAAGCCCTGCCAGGGGCAGGGGGCGCCTGCCCACATCCTGTGTGTCCCCCAGCTCAGGACCAGGTCTGGGACTCCTGCCCGAACTCCCGGCCTGGGCTCAGCCCCGTGGTCCAGTCCTGGCCCAGAGGGAGAGAGGGTGTGTGTGCCAATAGAGCCTGCGTCCCGACTCTGACTTCAGGCCTGCTCCTGCCTGCTCCGAATGCAGCAGCTGCCCTCCGTCAGTCCTCCCTGGGGTCTGGCTCCATCCCTCCTGCAGTGTGCCGGCTGAGGGAGCCTGGGAGTTAGAGCCGAGCAGGGACTTCCCACCGATTGCAGGTGCAGGATCTTGCCGCGCCTCGGCAGCTGCCCTCTCCTGAGTCTGTCCTCACAGCCTCTGCGTCCCCTTGAACTACGGAGCCCAGAGTTTGAGGTGGCTGTGAGCTGTGATGACGCCACAGCACTCTAGCCGGGGCGACAGAGCGAGTCTCTGGCTCAAAAAAACAAAAGAAAACAAAATTGGGGAAAACGGTGGAGAAAATAAATGAAATAAAATGCTGATACTTTGAAAAGAGCAATGAGATGGATCAGGAGAAAGGGAAGATGCAGTATGGGAAGGAAAACCAGGCAACACCACAGAGGCCAGACGTTAGGGGAATGCTGTGAACAGCTCGATCTGATAAATTCATCGGCTCAGTCGAAATGGAACAGTTTCTTGAAAGACACAAACGACTAACGCTCACTTGAGCAGACACAGAAAAACTGTACAACTCTACTACGGGAATTTAATTCATAGTTAACAAAGAGAACAAGCTCAGGCGGGCTCACTGGTGACCTTGCCAAACGTGGAAGGAAGAAATGATACCAACCCAGCACGACTCTTCCACAGTGTAGAAGACACATCCTGACTGATAGCAAGGCTGGCATTACCCTGCTGCCAAAGCCAGACTAAGACAAAACAAAGGGAAACGCTAGGCCGATAGGCTTCATGAACACAGGCAAAAAAATCCTTAATAACAGTTTAGCAAATGATATTTAACAATGTATGAAAACAGTACATCATGGCCAAGCGGGATTTATTTAGGAATGCAAGGTTGGTTTAACATTTAAAAATCAATGCGATTCACCATACTAAAAACAGAAAAAACACGTGATAAATTTGAACTCTTGTGACCTTGAATAAACCCTTCCATATTTCTGTGACATTCTTTTTTTCCCCTGACAGATGAACACAGCTAAACTGTCTGTTTTCCCCAAAGATTTCATTTAGTTATGGAAACCTTGGAAAGCCTGATATACTAAATAAATACATATTATTTCCTGAGTAGAAAAGCAAAGCATGATTGTCTCTGGCTGGGATCGGAGCCTGAACAGAAACCACTCCAGGTGTGTTAAACAGCAAGGGGTTGGATACAGGCAATCAGGTGCTTACACAATCTTGGGAGGCTGGAAGAGCGGCTCTAGGCCAGGCCGTCAGGAATGACACCCAGGACAGCACAGAACCGACCCGCCAGGGACGCTGCTGCCTGAGGCGGCTGCTGGAACCGCTGGGCTCCAGAACGCCGGGCCTGGCTGTGATTACGGGGTCACGCCTGCCATCCACACCTCGCAGGAGGGCGTCTCATTGTTGGGACCTAATTCTGCATCCAGAATCCCAGCTGCTGGGGAGTCTGGGAAATACAGCTGTTGCTTCAGCCTCTGCTGCGGGAAGGAGGGTGGAGGTCAGCCGAGCCCACCCGGTGTCACCGCAGTGGAGAGCGCGGTAGCGAATGGAGAGGTGCAGAGAAGCGGATGTGAGGGGGGAAATAAACCCCCACAATCCGCCATCCGAGGGTGGCCCCGTTAACGCTGTGGAGTGCAGCCTCCCCAGCGCCTTTCTCTCTGCCTGTGTATAAATACGTAAAAGTGTGTCTAAATGTACATTTTTAAATCATTCAAGGTTCCACTGTATGTCCTTGTGTGTCCTCTCCATTTAATACTTCTCTGGGGCAAATCATGAGGATTTCTCCAGAGTATTATAAATTCTTCCAAAATTGGATTTTCTGGTGGCTGCGAAATATCCCCTTGCTTGGCGTACCATCACTGCAAAAACCTTCCTGTTCTACATTTGGACTGTTTCTGTTCTTTTCCAATAGCACAGAAGTAAATATCTGTGCATACACTTTTTCATAGTAATTTTTGTCTGAGTTCCTGTTTTTGGTTTTTTTTGGAGACAGAGTCTTGCTCAGTTGACCTGGGTAGAGAGTGCAGTGGCCTCATCATAGCTCACTGCAACCTCAAACTCCTGGGCTCAAGGGATCCTCCTGCCTCAGTCTCCCAAAATGCTAGGATTACAAGTGTGAACCACTGTGCCTGGCCTAAACCATCTGTATCTCTTTCCAACTTACAAGAGAAATTGCATGCACTGTGTTATAATAGCAAACACTCAAATAATGCCTACTATGTGCCAGGCACCATTCTAAGCACTTTACATATGAGGATTCATTTAATCTCTGAAACAACTCAGCAAGATAAGTACTATCATTATCTCCATTTTGCAGATAGAGGCGCTGAGGCTCAGAGAGGTTGAGTAACCTGCACAAGGTCACCCAGCAAATATGTAACAGAGCTGGGATTTGAACCTGGGCTGCCTGACCCCCAAGTCCATATGCTTAACTACAGTTATAGGCTGCCTGCAGATGTTTCTTTTTAACAGCCAAGTAGAGCTCCAGAGCATAGACAGAACATAATTGATTCAGCTATTACCCAATTGAGGGGTGTCTCTGTGACTTCCACTTTTCTGATCTAATCAAGGGTGGATCCAGGTGTTGTGGGGGCTGAGGCTCATACAATTTGGGAGTTTGCTTTTGGGAAAAATGTAGAACTACAGGCAAAATCAGGCTCAGGGTCTTGGGAAAGGCCTGTGCAATTGAAAGGCTCTGAAGCGAGCTGTGTTAGCGTCACGATCAATGCCCCGTGCTCACTGCATTGCAGAAAGAACACCAGCCATAGCGGGTTGTGGGGAATGTCCCCGCACAGCTCTGTGCGCATGAGCAAGTGTTTCGGGAGGTTAGATGCTGAGAGGTGGGGTTTGCACTTTCCATCCTCAATGCCTAGAACTGTCTGCCTGGAACATGAATAACTAGTTGTTGGCGATCTTGAACAGGATGCAGAAATGCTAGTCACGCAGACGAACGCGACCACACGAACTGTATTAAGAACTGTTC